GCGGTTGTTACCCTAGTTTCTGTTAATGCGTTTGATACACAATGTATATCAGAAGTTACTGATATATGTTATCCAACTGTATTAGTTGCAGCCACATTAATTCTAACTCCCTCCTCAGAAACAGAAAGATAAATAGGTGTGCACGCTCCCTTCCCCGCTGTACTTTGAGAAGGGCTGTCTTTTCACTGCTTTGGGAAATCGCAGTTTCAACACAGACAGTAACAGAGGCTCATGTTACTGATGGATTTGACCATAGGGTATGTGCTTATTTCACTTACAGCTTTTGCGTCAAGTCTTTTGCGGAGCAAACACTGACAATGGATTTCCTGTACACCAAGGGACTGCCTCACTCCAAAATAACAATACGCATGCAACCTCAGGCCTGGCCCTTGGCCAGCGTAAACTCCCTGACTTCATTCCGAATGTCCACATAATGCTGGCAACTCTCCTTTCATTTTGGTTGTTTTCTGTATTTTCTCCAGTTCATATTTCAGTAATACAGAAAAGATCATTGGATATCTATAACTTCCATTTAAAGCTTACGTTTGACAACCGAAAATTTAACAACTGAAAGTTTGGACCAAAACTAGAATGCTACCAAATCAAACGCACAAGCTGAAAGAAGAAGAAAAAAAAATCCCAATATGTTACCTTGCAACACTTTTGTGCTTGTGAATGGAAAGATGAAACTCTCCAAGTTCCTTCAACACCGTATTACAGTCTTACAGCTTTATGCTGAAATACATACATTGCACCTCAAACAAACCTAGCTTCTGTTGTCCTAGTTGGTTTGCCCATGGTAGTTTATTGCCTTTGTAATTCTCTGCAATATGGCCATGGGATTTAAGTCCAAAGTTCAGCTTACACAAACTAAGCTGTCTTAAAAGCTTCAGGTAGTTCTGGTCAAATAAACGGACATCAATACTGTGACATTATTTTCTTAATGGCAAAACTGCAAAAACCCACTGCACTCTGCTGCTGAGAGCTTGCTGATAATTTTCCTCATTGCATCCTGTTGGTTTTTTTAAATTTCTATTCAATTTTCTTAAGAAACACACAGAGAAAGCCTGATTAAACTTCTGCAGATCAAAGTACAGCCCTAGACACTGGAGTGTTCTGCTTATCCACAGAATTATATAGCACAGCAAAAGCAGGAGCACTGCAGGTCACCAGCGATCAACTAACTTCTGTCCAAGTGGAGAGAGAACCTGCAAAGCTGAGAAAAAGTTCTGCTCTCACAGCTTGTGCAACCCCTTTCTGGGCTGCAGAGACCAGAGGTCTCTGAAGGCTGAAGGTCTGATGGGCTGCTGGTATTTTCGCCTACACTGCTATAAGCAGCTCCTTACTTTAGATATGCCACCTATAAGGTACAGATGATGACAATTTTGTCATTTGACAGTTTTAAGAGTTGCTCAGCTACATGCCATTTCATTTATTACTTTGTAGCTTCCTCGCATGCAAAAATTTACAATAAAATTTTTAAGAGACAAGAAGTTCTTCATTTGTGGAAGCTCTTGGCTAAAGCAATAAATATTTGGTTTGCAAAACTTCAAGGTATCTTTTAACGTCGGTAAGTTAAAATGCTTTTCTGATGTCCGCTCCTTAGACTACAAAGAGATTCCTTGTGGTTAACCAGGTTCACCTGCTCCTACTTAGTTTTTGTCACCAGACAGCACATTAGACATCTGACAGGCCCATCAGCTGAGCAGCATGTGTTAATAACCAGTGTCCTTGTTAGAAAGGATATGTGCTGGGGCCTCTTTCCTAGAAACTCCTTTCTTCCTTATGTAAGGCAGATGCCACAGTCAACTTGCCAGGTTGGTTTTGTTACATGTAATTGGCTTCTTATTTTTAGGTTGAAAAAAAATGCTAGAAATTCTCATCAACTCCTAGGCAGCACACGGGAGCATAATGGATTCAAACAAAAAAAAAGAAAAAAGGAAATAAAAATAAGTCAGCTGTGTATTCTCTTCTTAGGCTTTAACAGTTAAAGCAAATAAAAATTTAGTGGCACTATGGCAATATATTCCATGCTTTGGAAAAAAAAAAAAAGGCAAAAAAAAGAAGAGAAAAGAAATCCCCCCTTCAACAGCCCCAAGGTATCCACAAGTCAGCCAATGACTAACAAATTTTGGAGCAGTGTCAAAGTACCCTGTGCCAGGATTAAAAGCATATGTAAACTTTACAGCTATGGTTATTCAAGAGTAATCTCAAGTGGCCTCTGTCTGCTGGCTTAATGAATGTTTAGAGAACTGATCCTGCAGCTAGCCAGAGGTATGAGTACTTTTTATGACAGACCGTTGAGAGCAATTTCAAATAGGGTAAGAACTCAAACTGATGAAGATCAGACCTTTTATGTGTGTAGATATGAAAACAAAGGGCAGAGCCATTTGAGAAGATAACAGAGGTCTAGAGATAGCCACAAAACCTCTAACAGTATCTCAAAGGTAAAGGCCCTGTTCAACTGCTATTCCTTCTTCAGCTTTCCTCCTGTTTACTGTCTACAGTTTATGGAGTGAATCAGTGACATCAGTGGTTTAATATAGCACTTAGGGCTGGACTATCTTCCTGGTGCCCAGGATGGAGTTAGGTGGGGGCAAGATAACTCAAGATTGCAGCATAACTTGAGTTTGCTTGAAGAAAACCAACTGGCTGGTCAGTCAGAAAAATCCCACAGTGCATCTGTGGTTTGTGCATCTCACCTACAACAATCCTCCAGGCTCATTTGAGCGTAAGACCCCACAAACACCTCTGATGCTCAAGTAAGGTTGTCCATGACATCTG